TATCCCGCCACGCGATTTATTTCAATGCATTTACAGTTATGTCGCGAAATGCTTTGAAATACATTTCGCGACGCTCATGCATTGAATTTCGAAGGCGCGGAAATGCATTTCAATACATATTTTCGCTACATGAATAACCCCATTAGGGACGAGGTTTTTTCTAGGTATTGAGAGACACATGATCGATTCGAAATGTTTTTTTTTCTTGTTGTTTATATATTTTTTATTGTCACTGTTGTACTGTTATCTCCGAGTGCTTCAACAAATGTTTTTTAAAGGCGAGATTTGTCGTATTTTCAGTTGAAAAAATCGAGTTTAAGCCTATTTGCAGTCTGCGCATGCGATTTCAACAAAAATGGGCAATCTATTTTTTCCTATTCGTATTCCATACCGAATGTATGCCTGATCTCGGTACTCGCTCGGTTATGCAGGTTGTTCCGTCGAGAGCAAATTTTTCGGTCTCAATCAACACCAGTCATCATCGAATTCCTGAGTTTTCTTTCCTCCAAGCGTTTCCACTCGCGAAATCGCGGATTAAAGCACCGCATTCATCAACAATAGACACCCAATCTTTTTTTTTTGCAAAAAAGATAAATCAAAAACGCAGCTGAACTTTTCCCTGTAAAGAATGCTGTAAAGAGTCGGAAAGACGGTTCTGAAAACCTGGAAAATTGATAAAGTTCGCTGATTTCGGGAATAAGAAACTTTCAGCTTTCAACGGACGAGTCTGTACAACCCGACGTTATTAGTTCAAACAAAATATGTTTCGAATTTTTTTCGAACTGACAGAAATCGGGATAAACATAACTATTTTCAACGGCAAATTATACCGAAAATCACGAAAAACATGTGACACATCATCCCCATTTTTCCCGGTCATCTCCACTTTTTCTCAAACGATCGAAATCTGCAATCGGAGAGGAAAAGGAATCGGAGGCCTGTGGAAGAAGAAGAAGAAGGCCAGATGGGGGAAGAAAAGAAAGAGAGAAAACGGAAGATTTGCGGAGATATTACACAACACACAGGCAATACTACAGTAACTGTGGAAAATATAACGAAAATCGAGGAGATTTTCTGTCGTCGCTTCTCTTTTAGAAACCATCCGCCTCTTTTTCTCGAGAGAAGGAAAAGACCCCCATTGCCTTCGCCTTCGTCTTCTTTCTTTTCATTCGAATCAAGTAATGTTGGTGTCGCCGACGGCCGCTGCAACCTCCATTGAACAGCAAACTATTCGCGATCTCAGGTATAGACAGGACATTTTCTATTTTTAGAGTCATCAGGAGTTTTTTTAATTTGTAGAAATCTTATGGGGTTATTCAGTGAGAAGCAAATCAGCAAATCGCTGGTTTTTCCTTATGCAGAAAACCAGCAATTTGCTGGGGTCGTTTGATAGAGTTTTCTAGACCATGAGTTGTTCTCGTGGGTGTATACGACAAGAAGTTTACGAGCTCGAAAGTTAAAGACGCATGGAGCTCCCTGCGTGGGTCTCGCTTAGACTGGTCGTCTAGCTCCACGAGAACAAGCCATGGCCTAGAAAACTCCAGCAAAAGGTCCCAGCAAATTGCTGGTTTTCTTCTTACTTTCTTACTGTATAAGCCCATTATAATCTAGACAAGTTTAACTTCTAGAATTACAAAAAGAAATACCGTAAACACTCTGATAAAATGATTCACTCTAATTTTCAACTTTGAGCTAATTTATCTCGGTTTCTGTGAAAGATATCAAAAAGTGGTCAATTAATAACATGTTTTTGATATTATAATTAATATTTTATTAGTTGACCACCTTTTGATATCTTTTACAGGAAGATATATGAGATCAAAGTTGACAGAACTTCAAAATCTCAGAAAATCTCTCTTCGGAGTGTGAAATTATCAGAATCGCAGAATCTCAAAATTTCAGAATTTCAATTCTCTGCAACTTATATTTGAAATTCTGCTTTTTAGAAAAACTTCTATCAATACCAAAACACAAACTTCTTTTCCTCCAAATCTAGTTTCCAGATTTTCTTCAAAGATTCACTAAGTTTTGTGTTTTATTATTATGGATTTTGCAGTCTTCTCATCAATTTATTCGACTCTTATTTGAACCGTCGTTTCTAGGAAATCTTCAAAAGATCCATATCATTGAGTATCCGTTTCGAAATCCGTTTTCCGTTTTTCGCTTTCAATTTCAAAACAAGTCATCGATTTTTTTAATCACGCACCTGGATTTTTGAAAAGAAAAATCACTAGAATCCTGTAGAATCCTTATCATTTGGATAAGAGATCAATACACACATTTTCTGATTTGATTAAAATCAATCAAGCTAGAAACTTTGTTCTCCTTTTGTTGATAATCAAAATTCCATTTACCGGTTAGAGCTCAGTTATCTCAATTTGCATGTAAGATATCGAAAATGTGTCAACTGATAAAATGTTTATCATATTATCAACAATATTTTATCAGTTGACAAATTTTTGATATCTTTCACAGGAATCGCGATAAATTGGGTCAAAGTTTAAAAAGGGCCCTTCTATTACAGGTTTTACTTTAATTTCGAAACTTTTCGAAACCAATCCCGTTTTATCAATTTTGTCATCTAAATATGTACAACACCTTCTTCTTCTTATCCAGAATATGACATCATCTTTTTTCCTAAGAAATCTATTCCCGATCAAATGAGGAAAATCCCTTCTGTTGTAAAGGAACAAGGTCATTTTGGAAAGAGGAATCTGGAAAAGAAAAAGAAATGTGACTTTCTTATTGTTGGATGGTTGTCTAGATAAAAAGATAAAAATAGAGATAAAAAAGCACAAAGTTCTTGGTGTCTGTCGAAAAAAAAGTCTGTAAAATGTCTGATGCTGTATTTGGCTTAATAGAAGCCAACCCAACTTTGGGCTCAATTATCTCGATTTCTGTGAAAGATATCAAAAGTTTGTCAATTGATAAAATGTTTGTGGTAATATAATTAAAAATTTATTAGTTGACAGATTTTTACAGGGTGCGCCAAAATTATTGCAACACATTCAAAGTGCTGTAACTTCTCTGAAAATACTCGAATAGACTTGGAAATTTGGCAATAGTTTACTGAATACTTTCTAATAATGAGATTATCAAATTTGTTTGATGCAATTGTTTTTGGTCATCACTATATCCATGAGTTTTTTCGGAAACGCGTCTACTGTGGCACGGAGGTGTTTTGGGGATAACTGGGTCCGTCCTGGGTCCAAACGTTTTCGCAATGTCTCCAAATGAGAATGTGGACGTGCTGGGACCCTCGACTGAAAAATTCCATATGCGGAATAGTCAACCAAAATCATGTCGGCGACATGGGTGACATGGGTGAAGTCGTACCGAATCTTGAAAATTTGGTCGCGCTCCCTGGTTGAACGATGTTTGGCTTGTGAGTGAGACCAAAACACCGTGGAACAGTCCAAACATGGTTTCGAGATTAGTATTTGGTCCACGAGAGAACATACCTCTAAAAAGTTTCCTCCTATTAGTACTCTTTGCTGAATTTCCCCCAAATTTCCCCCAAATCTACAAAAAATCGAATTCGGAGGTTTTAACCAAAAACCATGACGTCTATGGATATGAAGCTCGATTGGCCATCCTACCATGATTATTAGCTAGCTCAGATCTCGGGCAAAAAATTCGATGGTTTTCTGATAAGGGCTCGGCGTTCTATGTCAGAACATGAAATAGGGTCAGCCCGAGGTCTCTTTTGACAATTGTACTGACTGACTTACTGCTCATTTGAAACTCCAGGCTCAGTTTTTCATTAATCGGTGCGAATTTTGACAAACTCATTCTCTGACGACCTTGCATCTCTCCAGGGTAATAAAAGTTTGAGATCTGGACAGTTCTTGATCGCATTCAACTGTTAGAAACATTCGATGGTTGTCCACTAGGTTGTTCGTTCGATTCCGAGAGCTTTTCCGATGCTCCTTAGGCCCACCCGTCTCTTGGCCACCTTGAAGAGGGTCCATAGGTGTATAGAACTAGTCACCATTCGTGTAAAAGTCAACCTAAAGACTTGAAAATTTGGGAATAATGTAATCAAGACATGCTGAAAATAATATGTACAAATAAATTGGTCCGAAACTTCTACAGTGCCCACCAGCTTGCACTAAACTTTGGTTGCAATAATTTTGGCGTATCCTGTATACATTTCACAGGAAATGAGTTATATGGGCTTAAAGTTGACTGCCGGGAATTATTGAATTCTGAACTTTTTTGAATCTTTTGAGATTCTAAACAATCTCAAAATCTCCAAATTCTAGAATCCAGGAACAAAAATGTAAAATTTCAAGTTTTTAAGAATCACAATTTTTCAGATCGATCCTGCCACAAATCGAAAATCTCAACGATGGATATGTGCTTCGTTGGCTTCGTGCAAAAGGTGGACGATTTGACGAAACAGCAGAGAGTCTAAGAAAACATGTCACATTCCGAACAGCATGGCATTTGGATAAAATTCATCAGTGGACACCTCCAGAAGTAGGTTGTTTTGTTGTTGAAAAATTTGCTCTATTGAAACAGAATATTCGGATTTTTCGATTGGCTTGTGAAAGCGATTGAATACTGTATTTACTCTGAAAGAATCCCTGCACTTTGAGCTCAATTATCTCGATTCCCACAAATGAAATCAAATGTGTCAACGGATAAATAATTCATCATAATATCATCGTTAATTTATCAATTGACAACTTTTTGATATCTTTCACAAGAATCGAGATAAGTTGACTCAAAGTTAGGTTGGGCATCTATTAAAGCTAATACGGTAGGTCGAAACATCAAAACTAGATTCTTTTAGATTTTTCTAGACTTTAATAAAAGCGGCGGTTCAAAGTTTCTTCTCAAAACAATGACAAATCTAATAAATCCTGTTTTCCAAGATAGATGATTCATCATAGATCACAGTTCATAAAGATCATAAAATGAGATTCTCAGAGATGAACCAGAAGGACTAGGATTTTTTTTATGTAGGCAAAAATTCAAAATTTCAGTGCCTCGAAAAATATTGTGGATATGGATTGCTGGGTGATACTGAAGGACGTCCAATTCTGATGTCTTTGCTGGGTAATGTAGATGTCGAAGGGCTGTTGAGATCTGTTGCATCGTTGGATTATATCAAGTTCTCATTGGCTGCAATTGAAAAAGGAATGAAACTTTGTGAGCAGAAAGCTTTGGAGGTGATTTTCTCGAAATTTCAAAATTTCCGTATTACATATTCCCGTTTTTATCAGTCCGTGATTTTGTGCGCCACCCTTTAAAATCAAAAGTTCTACAATTCGAAATTCCCGAAATTTTTAGTCTGGCCGCCCGTTTGAACAAATGACATTGGTATTCGATTTGGAAAACATCACCTCCGCTCACTTTTCATGCAAACAGTTCGCTTCGTCTTTCACCACACTCGTCAGTCTGTTCCAGGATCATTATCCTATGGTTTTGAGGAAAATTCTGATCATCAGGTCAGTCAAGGAGCCTCTGGAACTGTCTGGCTTCGATAAGACGAAATTTGAGGTTTTAAAATTCTTTTTAAAATTTTCAGGGCACCGGAAATGGCACGAATTGCTTACGCATCCATCACTGCAATTCTACAGGATCCCATCACTCGTCTCGTGGAAATGCCGTCTGAAGTGAGTTTCTCAGAAGAATAGAATTAACTGTCAACTTTGAGCTTAATTATCTCGGCTCCTGCAAAAAATATGAAAAAGTTGTCGACTGTAATTTTTTTCTCATACCATTATCGATGTTTTATCAGCAGACCACATTTTTATAACTTCTACAGAAAATGAAATAAATCGGTTGAAACTTAACTACCGTAAAATCTGTAATAGAAGGCTCTCTAACTTTTAACTTCAAGCTAGTTTATCTCGGTTCCTGTCAGAGATACCTTAAAGGGGGAATCCGAACAAAATTTTTTTTGTACTAAAATGTTTCAAAGGTTATCTATTTTTCGAATATTATTGCGAAAAAATTCGGAAGAAATCCGAAATCCCCGAAAAACGCCGTTGAAAGTGAAAAAAAATTCAAAAAAGGTGCCGCCGAGGGACGAGGATTTGAATTTCCGCGCAGGGAGAAACCTAGGCCACGGCGCCTGATAGCATTATTTTCAAGTGGCCGACAGTGTTTTTTAACGTTTTTTACCTGTCGGAGATA